TTTTATTAACTCCACACCTTCTCCTAATTTCCACACACTAAATTCTCTGCATAATATTTACACCACACATTGCCCTTAGACAGAACATCTCCACATCCTCCACCCACCTCCTCGCTGCAGCATTTACAACCCAAGCATCACACCCATATAAGTGTTGGTACCGCTATACTTTCATACATTCCCTTCTTTGCCTCCATAGATAATGTTTTTTGTCTCCACATATACCTCAATGCACAATCACCTTTTTCCTTCATCAATTCTATGGTTAACCTCATCCTTCATACATCCATCCACTGACACGTCAACTCCCAAATATCTGAAAACATTCACTTCTTCCATACTCCTCCTCTCCAATTTAATATCCAATTTTTCTTTATCTAAATCATCTGATACCCTCATCGCCTTACTCTTTTCTATGTTCACTTTCAACTTTCTACCTTTACACACTCTCCCAAACTCGTCCACTAACCTTTGAAACTTTTCTTTAGAATTTCCCAGCAAAAAGTAACTGTGTTAATTCCCATTTTGTATTTGATTCCCCATACTTTAATCCCACCTCTTTCCCCAACACCCTAACATTTACTTCTTTTACAACCCCATCTATAAATATATTAAACAATCATGGTGACATTACACATCCCTGTCTAAGACCTACTGTTACCGGGAAGTAGTCTACCTCTCTTCTACACACAGTAACCTGAGGCTCACTATCCTCATAAAAACTCTTTACAGCATTTAGTAACTTACTACCTATTCCATATACAGTGGACCCTCGACCAGCGATGCCATCGATTAACGATAAATCTGACTAGTGATACATTTTATTGCAAAAATTTTGCCTCGATTAGCGCTACAAAACTCGACCAACACTATTTGTTCCGTCTGAGACGCGTCCACTTCTGGCCAGTGTTTACAAGCCAGCCAGCCACCGCGGTCGCTTCCAAGCATACAATCAGAACATTTCATATTATCACAGTCTTTTTAGTGATTGCACCTGCAAAATAAGTCACCATGGGCCCCAAGAAAGCTTCTAGTGCCAACCCTACAGCAAAAAGGGTGAGAATTACTATGGATATGAAGAAAGAGATCATTGCTAAGTATGAAAGTGGAGTGCGTGTCTCCGAGCTGGCCAGGCTGTACACAAAACCCCAATCAACCATCGCTACTATTGTGGCCAAGAAAACGGCAGTCAAGGAAGCTGTTCTTGCCAAAGGTGCAACTATGTTTTCGAAGCTGAGATCGAAGGGGATAGAAGATGTTGAGAGACTGTTATTGGTATGGATAAACGAAAAACAGATAGCAGGAGATATCATCTCTCAAGCGATCATATGTGAAAAGGCTAGGAAGTTGCATGACGATTTAATTAGAAAAATGCCAGCAACTAGTGGTGATGTGAGTGAACTTAAGGCCAGCAAAGGTTGGTTCGAGAGACTTAAGAATCGTAGTGGCATACATAGTGTGATAAGGCATGGTGAGGCTGCCAGTTTGGACCAAAAAGCAGCTGAAAAATATGTGCAGGAATTCAAGGAGAACATAGACAGTGAAGGACTGAAACCTGAACAAGTGTTTAATGGTGACACTGACAATGTTGTGAACCACTTTAGGAAAGTCATAAAGGAACGAGAGGTACAGGTAACTATGGACAGATATGTTGTGCGACAGAAGTCCAGTGACTCTGAAGCTGGTCCTAGTGGCATTAAAAGAACAAGGGAAGTAACCCCAGAAAAAGACTTGCTGCCTCAAGTGCTAATGGAAGGGGATTCCCCTTCTAAACACTAACAACTCTCCCCTCCTCCCATCCCATCAATCATCACCAGATCTTCAATAAAGGCAAGTGTCATGTAACTGTGCATGTAATCTTCAGTTTGTGTGTATTAAAATTAATATTTCATGTGGTAAAATTTTTTTTTTTAATACTTTTGGGTGTCTTGCACAGATTAATTTGATTTCCATTATTTCTTATGGGGAAAATTAACTTGACTAACGATAATTTTGACTAACGATGAGCTCTCAGGAACGGATTAATATCGCTGTTTGAGGGTCCACTGTACTTGCAACATCTGCCACATTGCTCCCCTATCCACTCTGTCACATCTTCTTTCAACACACCAGCCGTATCCCACCAAGGCGGGGTGGCACGAAAGGAAAAACGAAAGTTTCTCCTTTTACATTTAGTAATGTATACAGGAGAAGGGGTTACTAGCCCCTTGCTCCCGGCATTTTAGTCACCTTTTACAACACTCATGGCTTACGGAGGAAGAATTCTGTTCCACTTCCCCATGGAGGTAAGAGGAAATAAACAAGAACAAGAACTAGAAAGAAAATAGAAGAAAACCCAAAGGGGTGTGTATATATATGCTTGTACATGTATATATGTATATATGTACATGTACATTGTATATGTATGCTTGTACATGAGGGATATGTTGTGTATCTTTATATGTGTATGCTTCTAGACTGTTGTATTCTGAGCACCTCTGCAAAAACAGTGATAATGTGCGAGTGTGGTGAAAGTGTTGAATGATGATGAAAGTATTTTCTTTTTGGGGATTTTCTTTCTTTTTTGGGTCACCCTGCCTCGGTGGGAGACGGCCGACTTGTTGAAAAAAAAAAAAAAAAAAAAAAAAAAAAACATGTATGTGTAGTGTGACCCAAGTGTAAGTAGAAGTAGCAAGACATACCTGAAATCTTGCACGTGTATGAGACAGAAAAAAAGGACACCAGCAATCCTACCATCATGTAAAACAATTACAGGCTTTTGTTTTACACTCACTTGGCAGGACGGTAGTACCTCCCTGGGCGGTTGCTGTCTACCAACCCACTACCTACAACTCTGTCACATGCCTTTTCTAAATCCATAAATGCAATGAAAAATTCCCTACTTTTATTTAAATATTGTTCACATATATGTTTCAATAGAAACACTTGATCTACACGTCCCCTACCCACTCTAAAACCTCCTTCCTCATCCACAATCCTGCATTCTGTCTTGCCTCTAATTCTTTCAATAATAAGCCTACCATACACTTTTCCTGGTATACTCAGTCAAGTTATTCCACTATAATTTTTACAATCTCTTCTGTCCCCCTTTCTCTTTATATAAAGGAATTATACATGCTCTCTGCCAATCCCTAGGTACTTTCCCCTCTTTCATACATTTATTGAACAAAAATACTAACCGCTCCAACACTATATCCCCCTTGCTTTTAACATTTCTGTCATGATCCCATCAGTTCCAGCTGCTTTACCCCCTTTCATTCTACGTAATGCCTTACGCACTTCCTCCACACTCACATCCTGCTCTTCTTCACTCCTAAAAGATGGTATACATCCCTGGCCAGTGCATGAAATTACCGGCTCCCTTTCTTCGTTGACGTTTAAAAGTTCCTCAAAATATTCCCGCCATTTACGCAATACCTCCATCTTCCCCCTACTCTCTTTTTAACTGACAAATCCATTCATTCCCTAGGCTTTCTTAACTTGTTGATCTCGCTCCAAATTTTTTTCTTATTTTTATCAAAATTTCTTGACAGTGCCTCTCCCAGTATCATCTGCTCTCCTTTTACACTCTCTCACCACTCTCTTCCCCTTTCTTTTACTCTCCATATAATCTGCTCTTCTTATAACCTGCTTTGTAAAAACCTCTCATAAGCTACCTTTTTCTCTTTTATCACACCCTTTACTTCATCATTCCACCAATCACTCCTCTTTCCTCCTGCACTCACCCTCCTAGCCACAAACTTCTGCCCCACATTCTAATACTGCATTTTTAAAACTATTCCAACCTTCTTCAACCCCCCCACTACTCATACTTGCACTACTAACCCACCTTTCTGCCAATAGCTGCTTATATCTCACCACCCTAACTTCCTCCTCCCTTAGTTTATACACTTTCACCTCTCTCTTACTCGTTGTTGACATTTTCCTTTTGTCCCATCTACCTCTTACTCTAGCTGTAGCTGCAACTAAATAATGATCCGATATATCAGTTGCCCCTCTATAAACATGTACACCTGAAGCCTACCCATCAACCTTTTATCCACCAATACATAATCAAACAAACTACTTTCATTACGTGCTATATCATACCTTGTATATTTATTTATCCTCTTTTTCATAAAATATGTATTACTTATTACCAAACCTCTTTCTACACATAGGTCAATTAAAGGCTCCCTATATTCATTTACCCCTGGCACCCCAAATTTACCTACTACTCCCTCCACAACATTTTTACCCACTTTAGTATTGAAATCCCCAACCACAAGTACTCTCACACTTGGTTCAAAACTCTCCACACATGCTCAACAATTCCCAAAACCTCTCTCTCCCTCCTCTACACTTCCCTCTTCTCCAGGTGCATATTGGCTTACTATAACCCACTTTTCACATCCAACGTTTATTTTACTCCACATAATCCTTGAATTAATACTTTTATACTCCCTCTTTTCCTGCCATAGCTTATCCTTCAACATTATTGCTACTCCTTCTTTAGCTCTAACTCTATTTGAAACCCCTGACCTTATCCTATTAACTTCTCTCCACTGAAACTCTCCCACTCCCTTCAGCTTAATTCACTTAAAGCCAGGACATCCAGCTTCTTCTCATTCATAGCATCCACAATCATCTCTTTCTTATCATTTGCACAACATCCACACACATTCAGACATCCCACTTTGACAATTTTCTTCTTCTTTTTAGTAATCTGTACAGGAAAAGGGGTTACTAGCCCAATGTTCCTGGCATTTTAATTGACTTTTACAACACGCATGGCTAATGGAGGAAAGATTCTTATTCCACTTCCCCATGGATATAAAAGGAACAGTAATAAGAACAAGAACTATTAAGTTAAAATCAAAGAAAACTCAGATGAGTGTGTATAAATAAATGTGTACAAGTATAAAATAATAATAAACAAGAAGGTAATCTGATTTTTAACACATTTATTTAAAAATTCATGCATGAAAAATAAAGTTTCTATTTGGTCTCTCAGTACATACCTAATAATAAGAGATGCTAAAACCTTCTGACCTGCAGAGCACCTGCCCCGCATGTCCATTTCTACATCATTTTTCACCATAACAACTCGATAATGATACGTTCTTCGTTTATCTGCACCTGAAACAATTAACCGACTTTCAACAATTGTAGATGCATAATCTACCTATTGGTCACTGTGAGTTCTGACTTGCACTGAAACATTTCTATAGGTTTACATGGACAACCTAAAATCTAATTATTCACTCACTGTCATAAGTCCCGTCGTTCCATCCAACCACTCTTTTACCTACAATATTAAAAAATGCAGACATAACAACAATATAGGATAGGGGTGCACATACATGCAGTACAAGGTATGTTAGATCGGCATGCAACAATTAACTTGGGCTAGTGAGAGAATGGGTAATGAGGAGGTTCAAGAGGTACGGGGCAGATTTAAGAATACGGTGTTAGAGTGTGCAGCAGAAATTTGTGACTGCAGGAGGGAAGAAAAGTATCTGATGGAATGATGAAGTAAAGGGAGTGGGAAGGGGAGAAAAGTTAGCACATGAGAGGTTTTTACAAAGCATAAGTGATGTAAGAAGGGTGGCATATATGGAGAGTTAGAGAGAGGTTAAGAGAGGGGTGAGGGAGTGTTAAAGGAGAGCAAATGAAAATGTGTGAGAGGTTCCGTCAACAAAATTTGTTGAGAATAAGAAAGTTTTAAAGTAAGATTAACAGGCTGAGAAAGCCTAAGAAACAAATAGATTTTCAGTTAAAAACAGAAGAGGGAGTTAGTACATGGAAAACTGGAGGTACAGGTAAGACGGCAGGAATATTTTAGTAAACTTAAATGTTGATGAAGAAAGGGAGATAATGATTTCATGCATTGACCAGGAAGGAATAACACCCTTTAGGAGTGAGGTAGAGCCAGATGTGAGTGGTGAAGTTGCATGACAATGTTTAAAATGCAAGGGTCTTGACAAGCTGCTGGAGTGAAAACAAGTTAACATTATGTGAAGAGATTCAGGGAAACCAGTTAGCTGGAGGTAGGAAGTGCAGTGCCTGCACTCTAGGGAAGGGGTGAGGATATTTATGGTTTGGAGGGACATTTGAAATGTAGTATTGGCATGCCTCTGGCAAGACAGTGATAAGAGTGAGTGATGGTGAAATTTTCTTCTTTTGGATCACCTTACTTTGGGAGATGGCTGGTGTGTTAAAAAGAAAAGAAAACTGACCAGTGCGGGTTATTTGTGTAAAAAAAAAAACTGATACTGGTGCTAAATGATCAACACAACTATTGTTTAAACAAGCTTTCATACTAACCCTGAGATTCTGATTCATCAGTTTTTATCTCTATATAATCAATATCATTGCCTTTGTAAGTGGTACGCCAGAGTTCCCTTATGATTCCGTTGATTGTCTTCATCTTATCATTGTGGAAGCGCATGATAGCTGTGTCTAAAGCTTTGTAGTATTTATTCATATCATTTGCTGCCATATCTGTGCACTGAGGAATAAAAAATATACTTAAATCAATTAGCTTCCCAAGTTACAATTTAAAAACTATTTCATATGCCTGTAATATCAAGATCAAAAACATTGTAATACTAAACAACTGCCTTTTAAAACTCTGGATCTGTAGGTTCCCACTGGATGATAGAGGAAACAGAAGAAATATAACTGGTTGACAGAGGGAAAAGAAGATACATAATTACCACCTAACAAGATTACACAAGCATCCAAAAATATTGATGAGAGATTTCTTAGCACTATCAACAGTGACAATAAGATGCCACAGAAGATGTATGAAAAGAATACAAAAAAGTCCTTCATAAAAAAGTAATAAAACAATGGACTGAGTTACAACAGGAGGTAGCAAGAGCTGCAACCACAGAAAACTATATATAAGAACATAAGAATGGAGGACCTAGGTAGTAGGTTGGTAGACAGCAACCGCCCAGGGAGGTACTACCGTCCTGCCAAGTGAGTGTAAAACTGAAGCCTGTAACTGTTTTACATGATGGTAGGATTGCTGGTGTCTTTTTTTTTTTCTGTCTCATACACATGCAAGATTTCAGGTATGTCTTGCTACTTCTACTTACACTTAGGTCACACTACACATACATGTACAAGCATATATATATACACACCCCTTTGGGTTTTCTTCTATTTTCTTTCTAGTTCTTGTTCTTGTTTATTTCCTCTTACCTCCATGGGGAAGTGGAACAGAATTCTTCCTCCGTAAGCCATGCGTGTTGTAAGAGGCAACTAAAATGCTGGGAGCAAGGGGCTAGTAACCCCTTTTCCTGTATATATTACTAAATGTAAAAGGAGAAACTTTTGTTTTTCCTTTTGGGCCACCCTGCCTCGGTGGGATACGGCCGGTGTGTTGAAAGAAAGAAGAAGAATGGAGGAACACTGCAGAAGGCCTACTGGTCCATGCGAGGCAGGTCCTTATCAAAACAACCTCTACCTAAAGAATGCAGAGAATCCATAGCATTGAGATTAGAAGGTGGTGGGAGGTTTCTAAAAGTACAGTGGACCCCCGGTTTACGATATTATTTCATTGCAGAAGTATGTTCAGGTGCCAGTACTGACCGAATTTGTTCCCATAAGGAATATTGTGCATTAGATTAGTCCATTTCAGACCCCCAAACATACACATACAAACGCACTTACATAAATATACTTACATAATTGGTCGCATTGGGAGCTGATCGTAAACCGGGGGTCCACTGTATTACCCAGAGGGCAGGGAAAGGGTTTGGACATTCAGAGAGGATGGAACAAAACAGAATGACCTGGAGGGCATATAAATCTGTAGTGGAAGGAAGACTGGGTAGGGGTTGTCCTATGAGAGGTTGGAGGGAGGGAGTAAAGGAAATTTTGTGTGCGAGGGGCATGGACTTCCAGCAAGCGTGCGTGAGATAGGAAAGATGAATGGTTTTGAGTAGCTTTGGGTAGCAGTGGTTTTCATAAGGACTTTCCTTTTATGGGCCAGTAGGCTTTCTGCAGTGTTCCTCCATTCTAATGGTCTTAACTTGACATGCTGTTGGAATGTGAGCAAACTAACATTTATGAAGGGATTCAGGGAAACCAGTTAGCTGGACTTGAGTCCTGGAGGTGGGAAGTACAGTGCCTGCACTCTGAAGGAGGGGTGTTGATATGCTGCATTTCTTTTTTAACTGTTATGTAAGCATGCCTCTGGCAAGACAGTGATAGAATGAATGATGATGAAAGTGTTTCTTCTTTTTTTGGGTCACCCTGCCTTGGTGAGAAATGGTTGTGTTAATAACAAAAAAATTACATTTTGTAACTCATAGCTATTAAATAATAAAGAATAAGAACTTAACACTATTAATTTCTCGCATATTCACTGCACATTATGTGCACAACATCGTAAGGTAATGGTTGGAAAGGACAAATTTAACACTGGCTTGTACATACCTTCATTTCCACAAATTTATCCCTGTAATTCTTCTCTGCATCTCGAATATCCTTTCGTTTAAGGTCACTTTCTAAATCTTGAATAACCCTTTTAACTTCCAACAGACGACCATCTAATGCTGCTCTCTGGTGTTTGTTATGAAAGTATAAATTCAGATAAATGTAACAATGATACTGTATTAAGATGTGTTCCATTAGTATGTGGTGAAAATTCTTAACAAAAGAATGTAATAATTCAAATAGTGACAGTTCAAACACCATCAGTCAATTTTTTAAGCCTAAAGTCAATGCTTTCATAGTAAATTGTATTTTTTTTTTTTTAGTTCCACTCAGTTTTGAAAAAGTTTAGAAAATAAGCACTATAGTAGTGGTACCTAGGGATACGAACTTAATTCGTTTCCAGAAGGCTGTTCGAGTGCCAATACCGAACAAATTTGTTCCCATAAGGTATAATGTAAATTAGATTAATCCATTTCAGACCCCCAAAATACACTTACAAAACACTTACATAATTGTTCGAGTTTTGAGCTGTTCATATCCCGAGGTACCACTGTATATTCATATTTCCATAAAAATATTCATATTACTGTTCTTTAAACAAATAAAAAATATGATCTGCTAAATGCTACAAAATATAATGAACACTGTTCAATGGCAGACCTATTGAGTTCACTGGTACCAAAGTCAATTTATAAATACTGTCCAGAAGTTGCAATTAAATTAAATCTACAGTTAGAAGGATGAATGATACCCACTTTGTTTTGCAATGTGTGCCATTTTTCATTCAGGTGATTCTTTTCATCAATGAGAGTCTTATAGTCAAATCCTGTAATGCGTTCTTCTAAAACTGTAATACTCTGCTCTAGTTGCTTTGCCTGAATTTCTTTGTCACGAATCTTTTTTTCATCATCTAGACCTCTTTTTCTTTCCTGTAAACAAGATAAAAATATTTTTTGTTACAAAAGAAAATTATTATTATTTTTTACCACAGTGGCTGTATCCCAACAAGGTAGGGTGACTATCATTCAAGAGCTGTATTGCCAGAAGAGTACAGACATCACAATTAAATGGCCCACTGAGCTGCATTATTTCTATCCCTTCAGAGTACAGGCATTGTACTTTCCATCTCTACAACTTCTTTCCCTAATCCCTTTATAAATACTATCTTGCTCACACTCTAACAGCATTCCAAACCCCCACTCACTCCAATGTAACATGCTTATACTGTACATGCTTTCTGGATGCTCAAGCTCTTACTTTTTAAAGCCACAATCATACTGCCCCTCAAACTCTTCCTAGGAAAACCCCTGCCCTCCTTCCCTTCACCCTGGACATATGTATACAGTGAACCCCCGGTTTTCGTAATTAATCCATTCCACAGAATGAGTAAACCCGAATCTGACGATTTCCGAATTAATTATCTCATAAGAAATAATGTACATGTAAATCCAATTAATCTGTTCCAGACACCCGAAAGTATTAACAAAAATTATTTTTTTATAGATTAAACATAGATTTACATACAGAAAAGAATGAGAAATCGAGTATAAAACAATAATATCACACTTACCTTTATTGAAGACTCTTGTTGGTGTATGGAAGTTGGGAGGAGGGGAGAGGGTAGGGTGATGTTCCTCCACAAATGTTTGCACCTCACTCCACTTTGTACAAATGTCCTTAATTTTTGAAGAAGGCACCTTCTTCCCTCTCTCTCTCTCTCTCTTCGCTCCTCCTCTGAAGCAATTTCCTCAGCTGCTATACATAAGAATATAAAAAAGCAGGAACACTACCGCAGGCCTGTTGGCCCATACTAGGCAGGTCCTTCACAAACCATCCCACTAACAGAATCGTATTTGCCCAACCCAATTTTCAATGCTTCCCTAACAATAAGTGGGTACGGGGATGTGTAGATCAAGTGTTTACATTGAGGCATATATGTGAACAGTATTTAGATAAAGGTAGGGAAGTTTTTATTGCATTTATGGATTTAGAAAAGGCATATGATAGAGTGGATAGGGGAGCAATGTGGCAGATGTTGCAAGTATATGGAAGAGGTGGTAAGTTACTAAATGCTGTAAAGAGTTTTTATGAGGATAGTGAGGCTCAGGTTAGGGTGTGTAGAAGAGAGGGAGACTACTTCCCAGTAAAAGTAGGTCTTAGACAGGGATGTATAATGTCACCATGGTTGTTTAATATATTTATAGATGGGGTTGTAAAAGAAGTAAATGCTAGGGTGTTCGGGAAAGGGGTGGGATTAAATTATGGGGAATCAAATACAAAATGGGAATTGACACAGTTGCTTTTTGCTTATGATACTGTGCTCATGGGAGATTCTAAAGAAAAATTGCAAAGGCTAGTGGATGAGTTTGGGAGTGTGTGTAAAGGTAGAAAGTTGAAAGTGAGCATAGAAAAGAGTAAGGTGATGAGGGTATCAAATGATTTAGATAAAGAAAAATTGGATATCAAATTGGGGAGGAGGAGTATGGAAGAAGTGAATGTTTTCAGATAGTACTTGGGAGTTGACATGTTGGCAGATGGATTTATGAAGGATGAGGTTAATCATAGAATTGATGAGGGAAAAAAGGTGAGTGGTGCGTTGAGGTATATTTGGAGACAAAAAACGTTATTATGGAGGCAAAGAAGGGAATGTATGAAAGTATAGTAGTACCAACACTCTTATATGGGTAGGAAGCTTGGGTTGTGAATGCAGCAGCGAGGAGGCAGTTGGAGGCAGTGGAGATGTCCTGTCTAAGGGCAATGTGTGGTGTAAATATTATGCAGAAAATTCGGAGTGTGGAAATTAGGAGGTGTGGAGTTAATAAAAGTATTAGTCAGAGGGCTGAAGAGGGGTTGTTGAGGTGGTTTGGTCATTTAGAGAGAATGGATCAAAGTAGAATGACATGGAGAGCGTATAAATCTGTAGGGGAAGGAAGGTGGGGTAGGGGTCGTCCTGGAAAAGGTTGGATGGGGAGGGGGGGGAAAGGAGGTTTTGTGGGTGAGGGACTTGGACTTCCAGCAAGCGTGCGTGAGCGTGTTAGATAGGAATGAATGGAGATGAATGGTATTTGGGACCTGACGATCTGTTGGAGTGTGAGCAGGGTAATATTTAGTGAAGGGATTCAGGGAAACCGGTTATTTTTATATAGCCGGACTTGAGTCCTGGAAATGGGAAGTACAATGCCTGCACTCTAAAGGAGGGGTTCGGGATATTAGCAGTTTGGAGGGATATGTTGTGTATCTTTATAGGTATCTGCTTCTAAACTGTTGTGTTCTGAGCACCTCTCCAAAAACAGTGATTGTGTGTGAGTGAGGTGAAAGTGTTGAATGATGATTTAAGTATTTTCTTTTTTGGGATTTTCTTTCTTTTTTGGTTCACCCTGCCTCGGTGGGAGACGGCCGACTTGTTAAAAAAAAAAAATCTATTCACTCATGCGCAAGTACCACTCACATTAAATCGTGTGTGTGGGGAAGTACCCTGTCTGGTGTGTGGGGAAGTACCCTGGTTGGTGTGTGGAGAAGTGCCCTGGCTGGTGTGTGAGGAAGTGCCCTGGCTGGTGTGTGTGTGTGAGTGAGTGTGTATGTGGGGGGGAAATACCGGAACTCGTTCGTAAGTTGGATGGTACCTGTATTTGTCTAACTTATTTTTGTTATTCAAGTAATAGCGTGTATATCCTTTTACTCATGTGCAAATTAACTGTTCTACCACATTGTATTACTACTACAACTTATATCACTACCACTACTACTACCACTAGTATTACACCTCACTCTTAGCCTATATAGTATACCCTCTGTGTCCATGTACTGTTTGTAACGGCTTGACAAAGCTCCTGGAGTGAAACGTTGCCACAATAAAATGTCACATTAGTTGCACTTGTGTCCTTTTACTTTACATATTGTTGGTAATTCTACCAACATATATACAACCATGATATTTGTTATCAGTGACCTAAAATTAGTTGGAAATTGCTACTGTGGTCTTGGAAGCATTTTGGTTGTTGACCAGTGTTTAATAATTTTGAACATACTCTCTTGATTTTACTTGTAAGGCCCTAGTGTGCAGAGGCCTGTGTATTGACGAGTGCAGATGATAATGTTTTGCTGGCAGGCTAAAAGGCTAGCACAAAGGTTATGAGGGAGGGGGGTGCCAGAGCCCCACAGTTTTATACGTATATGTTATTAGTACCACTGTACTAGAGGGTTTATGTAATATGTAGAGAGTCTACCTACCTACCTGGTGGGCATTCCAGGGTAGGTTGAATGTTGTGTATGTAAATTTATTATTAATATAGTTATATTTTTATAAAAGTGAATTTAATTGCCCTTCTTAACCCTTAACCCTTTGACTGTTTTCGACGTATAAATACGTCTTACGAGCCAATGTTTCTGACGTATATATACTCAATAATTCTAGCGGCTTCAAATCAAGTGGGAGAAAGCTGGTAGGCCCACATGTGAGAGAATGGGTCTGTGTGGTCAGTGTGCACCACATAAAGAAAATCCTGCAGCACACATTGCGTAATGAGAAAAAAAAAACTCTGATCGTTTTTTTGGAATAAAACGCCGACTTTGAGGTGTATTTTCGTATAGTATTTACGTTGTATTCGCGTTTTCATGGTCTTAGGTGAAAAAATGGAAAAACATAATACAGAAATAGAGATGATTTTCATTACTTTTACGATGAAAACGACCTTAAACTAAGCTCAAAGTAGCGAAAATGTTCGATTTTTACCAATGTTGAAGAGTAAATAAATCACACCACACGTCCAATAACTCAACTAGGGAGTCTAATATTCTTTCACTAGTGCACTGATATTATTTATCCCATTTTTACAATAATGCAGTCGTCTGCATAACAGTAAATTTTGTATTTTTTTGTAATGAATAAAAAATCAAAATAGAAAGCAATAATAATATAAGAGGGGCCTAGAGATGTGACTAATGAACAAGCATATGTATTTTAGGGGCCACGAATGTCTACCTTGTTTAATTCGGGACCCTATTTTGAAATTGGCAATCTTTTTTATTTGCGTGAAATTGGCCAAATTGCCAATTTCCTGACCACCATATTGGGTAGTCCAAATTAGTAAATGGGGGGTTTCTTGTACTCAGCTGATAGAAAAGTTGTTCTAAAGAAATAGCTATGAGTTTTGGTCAACTGGAACAATTGGAATGGCTGAAAATTGGGCTCAAAGTCGGCGAAATCGCCGATACGCATATGTCGCCGAGACCGCTAAATTCGCGGGACCATAATTCCACGAGTTTTCGACCAAATTTCGAACTTTTGGTGTCATTACCATCGGGAAAAGATTCTCTATCATTTCATAAGAAAAAATAATTTTTTTTTTTTTCAAAAATTGAGCGACATAGAATGACAGTTTCAGAGAGGGGCCTGAAACAGTCAAAGGGTTAAACTGTCCAAATGTAGATCTACGTTTGCTCGTGTAGCGCTCTGAACGTAGATCTAAGTTTTTTTTTTTTTACATTGTTTCTTATGGAGAAAATCAAGGTTGGAGCACTACGCATGCAAATGTAGATCTACATTTGGACAGTTTAAGGGCTAATAATAGTATAAATATTGACCATTTACTTACTGCTTTTTGTGAAGAAACATGCTTGGAACTAGGTTGGTGTATGTGCTTTAAATATTTTAAATGCCCCTAGAAAGACTGTTATCCTTAGGCACAAGTACATATTTTTAGGTAACTTAATAAACTACATTACAATAGATTATACCAAGAAAAGAATTTAACATCAACAGAGCAATGATGATGGTAATGTACAAACTAGACACATGTAGGCAGCCTGTACTGTCTGCACAGACAGCCTATTCTGTTTGCCAGCTTAGTTCATATTTTGCAGCACTCTGGTGCTGCCCTCTCTAGGCCTGCCCAGGTCAGTGGGACGCTGGTCCCACTCGCTCACTCTCTCAGCAGCCTAGACTCAGACAACAAGCATACTCCTCTCTCCCTAGTGGGCATAAACACACAAGCCTGTGTACCCACCACGACTTTATTTGCAAAGTAAGAAGCCTCCGAAGACGTTTATCATTGAACCCCGATCTGCCACCAAACAAACTGGTTATACACATGTGCAACATTAATTTACTAACATTACACATTGTTTATTTTATACCTTTGTCACATTATTTTATACCTTTGTCTTGTGAGATACAGCAATAATTATCACTAAAAAAATGATGAGGAAGCAAGCCAGGCCAGACTCTTGATCTAGAAAATTTTAAATACTAGGCAAGAAACTGGAATAACTGAAACCCCCATGAACTCTCAGAAATTGACAAGTAAAACACACGTGCAACAGTTTGGTATCAGATGTTTGAGAGTGGAAGTGTCAGCAGATGGGTCTATGAAAGATGAGGTGAATCAAAGAATTGATGAGGAGAAAAGGGTAAGCAGTGCACTTGGGAGTTTGTGGAGACAAAGAATTTTGTCCCTGGAAGCAAAGAGGGGAATGTATGAGAATGTAGTTTTACCAACGCTTCTATGTGGGTGTGAAGCATGGGTGATGAATGTTGCAGTGAGAAGGCTGGAGGCAGTGGAGATGTCATGTCTGAGGGCTATGTGTAGTGTGAATATAATGCAGAGAATTTGGAAGTTACGAGGAGGTGCAGGATTGCCAAAACTGTTGTCCAGAGGGCTGAGGAAGGGTTGTTGAGGTGGTTCAGACATGTAGAGAGAATGGAACAAAACAGAATGACTTCGAGTGTATAAATCTGTAGTGGAGGGAAGGCGGGTTAGGAGTCGGCCTAGGAAAGGTTGGAGGGAGGGGGTAAAGGAGGTTTTGTGCACAGGGAGCTTGGACTTCCAGCAAGCTCGCATGAGCGTATTTGATAGAAGTGAATGGAGACAAATGGTTTTTTAATACTTGACGTGCTGTTGGAGTGTGAGCAAAGTAACATTTATGAAGGGATTCAGGGAAACCGGCAATGCCGGACTTGAGTCCTGGAGACGAGAAGTACAGTGTCTGCACTTTGAAGGAGGGGTGTTAATGTTGCAGTTTTATAAACTGTAGTGTAAAGCACCCCTCTGGCAAGACAGTGATGGAGTGAATGATAATGAAAGTTTTTCTTTTTTGGGCCACCCTGCCTTGGTGGGAATCGGCCGATGTGTTAATAATAATAAAAAAAAAATTGATGAGACATTTCACCTGTTCAGCAGGCTTCTTCAGTCGAAAATACATAGACAACAGTAGTATGGGGGATGTTGATGAGAGGTAATCAGTCCCTCAGCATTGATGAGGGATTGAGCACCCATATTCTGAATGAAGAAGCCCGATGAGCAGGTTGTGCACGTCTCTCTTACTCATCTACTTGTAAGTATTGCATACCATTAATATAATTGAATTATTTGAATCTCAGAAATTTAAATATGGATGATTGTAACCATGACCAAAAGAAGCTGGTTAGTTAGTAAGGCTAAACTTAGTATTATCTTCCAGTGACTAATAGACTACACATTCCCACTAGAAGTGAACTACCACAGAGTGGATCATACAGCCAACAAATGAAAGTGATACATGGAAATAGGCATAAAAATGAAGGGTCAAGAGTTCAATATTCAAGAAAGATGTCAACACAAGAATGAGAATGTTCTTAATAGAGGTACAACCGGATACAAAGAGGCAATCATTATGATGATTAACACAAAAATTACTTACTCTCTGATTGGTTATTTCCTTGTGGATATTACGATTTTGCTCTTCAAGTGACCTTTTGCTTGATTCTAGAGAGGCCACTTTTGCCTGGATGGATGTTACTTGTTGACGACTCTCCATTAGCTGTTTTTCTTCACCTCCAGTCACATAGGAAGCTATGCTTTTTTGTAGTTCATTCACAGATCTATGCTTTTCAGAAATCATAATAACCTGCAAGGAAAAATAGAAACCTACATAATAAAGAAAACTACTGATGCAGTACCTTCTTTTTTTTACCAAGGACTAGTAAATAGAAGATTGGATTATGTAGTGTTTCAGTTGAATTCTTTTCCTTCTGCACTAAAGCAATATTTCTTATGTCTTATTACCAATGACACTTTTTCATTCCCAATGTAAACATACCTGTCTAGAATTGTATAGCAAACAATGAAGTTATAAAAACTTACCTTAGTGTAAAAAATTCCTATTACATACTTTATACTTTTTGAAAAACAAAGGCATCAACCATACAAAATAAATTTAAGATCATTTGTGATATTTTTTTTATAACTGACAAATCTTTACCCAACAAATCCTTTCAGTAAGCATTATTAAGCATTTTTCTAAGTCTTCAAAGTAGCATCTTAGCCCTTACATATCTTTTAATCTATCAATTTGATAAAAATATACTGTGACACTGCTACACACCTTCTGATTTTGTGTTTCAATCCAGGCTTCCTTTCCTTGAATAACCTTGGTTTTCTCTCCTAATTTACTGGTAATCTGATATTTGAATGGGGCCACCTCTGCCTGTGCTGCATCACGCTCTTCCATCAGACGCTTCCGGTCCTCCTCTAATCTTGACACCTCTTCCTTTAATTTTTCCATTTCCTGCAGTTTGGTCTTCATCTACACAAGAAGAATATTTAATTTTAGGAAAGAAAAAATAAGCACTGAATCATAAATCCAAAACAAAAATACCCAATGTATACAAATAAAGATAAACACGACTACTCACATTTAATTCTTGACTACAAAGTCTTAATTTACGATCCTTAAGGACCTGCACTTTTTCCTTATGCTCCTGTAGCTGGTCTTGAAGGTCTTCAACTTTAGTCTGGGACTTACGAAGTTCATCTTCTAAATGACTTTGTTGGCTCATGGCCTCTTCCATGCCAATCCCACCATCTTGTAAACAAATGAATTATTAGGCATTATTCAAACTGATGTACTGTATTAGTACTACAGGGAAACAGAAAAAGTACTACACTTGTACAGAACAATCAGTTGATACTGGTGTAGATATAGATACCATAGGAGAGGAAAAACTCATATGGAGACAAAAACATTTAAAACTATTACAGATCTCAACCTCCAACTGAGGTCCTTTTCAGTAGATACAAAGAAATAAGTGAACAGGTAGGGAGAGAGGGGGGAGGTAGGTAGGTATGTAGTGTGTGTGTGTGTGTGTACTCACCTAATTGTACTCACCTAATTGTGGTTGCAGGGGTCGAGACTCAGCTCCTGGCCCCGCCTCTTCACTGATCGCTACTGGATCCTCTCTCTCTCTGCTTCCTGAGCTTTGTCATACCTCTTCTTAAAACTATGTATGGTTCCTGCCTCCACTACTTCACTTGCTAGGCTATTCCACTTGCTGACAACTCTATGACTGAAGAAATACTTCCTAACGTCCCTGTGACTCGTCTGAGTCTTCAGCTTCCAGTTGTGACCCCTTGTCCCTGTGTCCCCTCTCTGGAACATCCTATCTCTGTCCACCTTGTCTATTCCCCGCAGTACTTGTATGTCGTTATCATGTCTCCCCTGACCCTCCTGTCCTCCAGTGTCGTCAGTCCGATTTCCTTTAACCTTTCCTCGTACGACATTCCCTTGAGCTCTGGGACTAGCCTTGTTGCAAACCTTTGTACTTTCTCTAACTTCTTGACGTGCTTGACCAGGTGTGGGTTCCAGACTGGTGCTGCATACTCCAGTATGGGCCTAACATACACAGTGTACAGTGTCTTTGAACATTCCTTATTAAGGTATCGGAACGCTATCTCAGGTTTGCCCAGGCGCCCGTATGCTGCAGCGGTTATTTGGTTGATGTGTGCCTCCGGTGATGTGCTCGTGTTATGGTCACTCCCAAGGTCTTTCTCCCTGAGTGAGGTCTGTAGTCTTTGTCCACCTAGCCTATACTCTGTCTGCGGTCTTCTTTGCCCCTCCCCAATCTTCATGACTTTGCATTTGGCTGGATTGAATTTCGAGAAGCCATTACTGGACCACATGTCCAGCCTCTCCAGGTCTCTTTGCAGTCTTGCCTCATCCTCGTCCGATTTAATTCTTCTCATCAACTTCACGTCATCTGCGAACAGGGACACTTCAGAGTCTATTCCTTCCATCATGTCGTTCACATATATCAAAAATAGCACTGGTCCTAGAACTGACCCCTGTGGGACCCCGCTCGTAACAGGCGCCCACTGTGATACCTCTTCACGTACCATGACTCGTTGCTGCCCTCCCTGTCAGGTATTCCCTTATCCATTGCAGTGCCCTTCCTTTTACGTGTGCCTGATCCTCCAGCTTCTGCACTATCTCTTGTGGGGAACTGTGTCAAAGGCCTTCCTGCCGTCTAGGAAAACGCAATCTACCCAACCCTCTCTCTCGTGTCCTTACTTCTGTTACCTTGTCATAAAATTCCAGGAGGTTTGTGATACAAGATTTGCCTTCCATGAACCCATGCTGGTTTTCATTTATAATCTTGTTCCTTTCCAGGTGTTCGACCACTCTCCTCCTGATAATCTTCTCCATGACTTTGCACACGATACATGTCAGAGACACAGGTCTGTAGTTTAGTGCCTTCGTTTCTGTTTCCTTTCTTAAATATGAGGACTACATTAGCTGTCTTCCATTTCTCAGGTAGTTGCCCAGTTTCAAGGGATGTGTAGAAGATTGTGGTTAGAGGCACACACAGCATCTCTGCTCCTTCTCTAAGGACCCATGGGGAGATGTTGCCCGGTCCCATCGCCTTTGAGGTGTCAAGGTCACTTAAGAGCTTCTTCACCTCCTCCTCAGTTGTTCGTTTGTCATCCAACACTTGTTGGTATATTCCCTCTTGATGTTCCCTTCTGTTCTGTCTTCCCACAGCCCTTCCTGTCTCTACTGTAAAAACTTCCTTAAATCTCCTGTTCAGCTCCTCACATACCTCCTGATCATTTCTTGTGAGTTCTCCACCTTCTGTCCTTAATCTGATCACCTGGTCTTTGACTGTTGTCTTCCTCCTGATGTGGCTATACAACAGTTTCGGGTCAGTCTTGATTCTCGATGCTATGTCATTTTCATACTGTCTCTGGGCCTCCCTCCTTACTTCCTAACTTCGCTGTGACTCGTATGAGTCTTCAGCTTCCAATTGTGACCCCTTGTTTCTGTGTCCCCTCTCTGGAACATCCTGTCTCTGTCCACCTTGTCTATTCCCCGCAGTATCTTGTATGTCGTTATCATGTCTCCCCTGACCCTTTTGTCCTCCAGTGTTGTCAGTCCGATTTTCCTCAACCTTTCCTCGTACGACATTCCCCTGAGCTCTGGAACTAGCCTTGTTGCAAACCTTTGTACTTTCTCTAACTTCTTGACATGCTTGACCAGGTGTGGCTCCAGGTTTTCCCAGTCAATCTCCCTGTGGTTGAAATCACCCATAACCAGCAACTTTGCTCTGCTGGAGTGAGCTCTTCCTGCCACCTCAGCAAGTGTGTCCACCATTGCTCTGTTGCTCTCTTCATATTCCTCTCTTGGCCTCCTGCAGTTCTATGGTGGATTATACATCACTGCAATGACCACCTTGTGCTCCTCAGACTGAAGTGTACCTACTATATAGTCCCTTTCTCCTGTCTCGTCTATGCCTCCCATTTTCTCAAAATACCATTGGTTTTTTTACGAGCAGAGCAACTCCTCCTCCCCCTCTGCTCCTATCTTTCCTCATGATCTGGTATCCTGGTGGGAAGATTGCATCAGTTATTGTCTCCATGAGTTTTGTTTCTGTAACTGCTATGATGTCTGGGAACTTCTCATTGACTCTTTCTTGCCATTCCTCATATTTATTCGTTAATCCATCCACATTTGTGTACCAAACCTTCAACTTCTGTTCTAATACTGTAACTGTGGTCCTGGGGGTATACTGGGGTTGGGAGAGCAGGAGCCCTGGTGGGGGCCTGTGGGGGTTGCAGTGGAGGTGGAGGAAGAGCTCCCATAGGGGGTTGCTGTAGGAGTAGGGTTCGTGGTGCGGGGGGTGGGAAAAGAGGGATCGGTGTGTGATGGTTGGTTTAGATTGTTCAGTTGCCTTCGGGGTGCTGTGGTTGGAGTCCTTCTGTAGGTGTTTTGGGGGGTGTGCTTGTCCTTCCACCTGTGCCTGGGTTATTCTGCTCTTCTTTGTCATTTCCTCCATTCCTCCTTTCGTTTTTGCACTCTCTCTTTCAGTATCCTCCTTTCCTCCTGTGTTCTGTCTCGATCGAGGTACACACTCTTGAACTCCTGTTTGTCTCTCAGCCGTGCTTTCTCCTGCAAGATCATGGTTCTTAATGATTCTGCCTTGAAATTAACTTTGAGATGGCCGTTTCCTTCTCTCTCTGACAGCGGCCGAGCCCGTATTCTCTGAAAATTTGTCACCTGGGTCCATGTCTCCCTCGCCTATCACCTTCATGATACCTTCAATCGCTTTTTTCCTCCTGTTTTCTTTCATCATAAGTTTCCCCTTCAGCTTTCGTCTAGCCATAGACAATAAACTGATCTCTCCCTTTCCGTCCTCCCATTGCATCCTCTGAGGTGTTTGTAGTTCCTTCTTGTGGAGTGTTCCTTCCATTCAATCCTTCCCTAGCTGTGGCCCTATGCTCCATTGTTTGTCCTTCCTGCTCACCTGTTCCTGCCCCACAAGTTCTGTAAGGTCCCTGCACATCCTAGTACTCAATGTCTTCCAACCACTCATGCAGTCCTAGTGTGCTCCCCTGTCTTTGTTAGGCCCCAGTGGTTTGACAGGCCTCTGCATACTTTTTAGCTTCCAGCTCCCTCAGACCCTTACCGTGTCTGATGTAAAAAATATTGCTGAGCATAACTCTGAATTATCTTATCCAGTGTTTCAGAATGCTCAGCTCCTCTTCAATCTCTGTATCTTGGTTTCTGTACTGTGGCATGTTGCTCCCACCTTCTGCACCTGCAGCTAACCTCTCCTCCATTTTCCTTGCAAGTCACTAGCCTCCTTCCAGTCTTGCCTCCCTTTTTTTGAGCTCTGCCTCCAGTCCACCCCTCCCAAATCAGTGTCGGGCCCTGGCTCACATTTAGGTTCTAGGTTAGCCCCATTGCACCAAAAGGAAGGAGGGGAGAGATGTTAGGGGGAGGGGGATGATGTTAGGGGAGGTGGGAGATGTTGTAATTGAGAGGGGATAGATGGTTTGTGAGTGTGTGTGTGTGTGTGTGTGTGGTGTGTGTGTGTGGTGTGATGTGTGTTGTGTGTGTGTGTGTGATAGAGAGAGAGAGAGAGAGAGAGTGAAAGTGAGAGAGAGAGAGAGAGAGAGAGAGAGAGAGAGAGAGAGAGAGAGAGAGAGAGAGAGAGAGAGAGAGAGAGAGAGAGAGAGAGTGAGAGAGTGAGAGAGTGAGAGTGAGAGAGAGAGGAGTGAGAGAGAGTGAGAGTGAGAGAGAGTGAGAGAGAGAGAGGAGAGAGTGAGAGTGAGAGTGAGAGAGAGTGGAGAGTGAAGAGTGAGAGTGAGAGAGTGAGAGTGAGTGAGAGTGAGAGTGAGAGAGAGAGAGAGTGAGAGAGAGTGAGAGAGAGTGAGAGAGAGTGAGAGAGAGAGAGAGTGAGAGTGAGAGAGAGTGAGAGTGAGAGAGAGTGAGAGTGTGAGAGAGTGAGAGAGTGAGAGAGTGCGAATGAGTGAGAGTGAGAGTGAGAGAGATTGAGAGAGAGTGAGAGTGAGAGTAGAGAGAGAGAGAGAGAGAGGAGAAGAGAGTGAGAGAGAGTGAGAGAGAGTGAGAGTGAGAGAGAGTGAGAGAGAGTGAGAGTGAAGAGAGTGAGAGAGAGTGAGAGAGAGTGAGAAGAGTAGAGAGAGTGAGAGAGAGAGAGAGAGAGAGAGAGAGTAAAGAGAGAGAGAGAGAGAGAGAGAGAGAGAGAGAGAGAGAGAGAGAGAGAGAGAGAGAGAGAGAGAGAGTGAGTGAGAGAAAGAGTGAGAGTGAGTGAGAGAGAGAGTTAGTGTGTGTGAGAGCGAGCGTGCACATGCGTGTAGGAATTGTGGGTAGTTCCTTGCAGTTTCTGGGATATATACAAACTGGTGGATGGAGCATCACATAGTTAGGATGGAGCATTTTGGATCCTCTAGGTGCTGCTCTTATTTAGGAATGTAATGGTGTCTGGGCTAGTGTTGTACAAGTGCCCAAAGTGTGATGACATCTAAGGGTAGGCTGACCCAAGTTAGGAGTAAGACTGTGAAGATGTCTGGGCTATTGGTGCATTAATGCCTAATTAAACTCAGTGCTGCAATAAATTTTTTAGTGCATACAGTATTTGGCAGTTACATGTAGTTCAAAATTTCCTTTCAAGATGCTAAACTTTAGTTTTGCCTGAATGCTGCGTCCCTGAATTTTCATTTATACGAGTCTTCACTTTTGTAGCTACTAACACCTTCCCAGTTGACTGTGTTGCTAAAATTAATATGTTCAAAAAGCACAGAAATCTTCTGACACTACCAGAGTACTTGTATTCTATAATCAGAATCCCAAGAGCCCTGCCATTATTTTTTAATCTCACTGGTTGCTTCCCACTAAGGTAGGGTGACCCAAAAAAGGGAACACATTCAACATCATTCAATTGCTGTCTTGTCTTAAGTACACTAAATTAAAATTATTGCACAAAACTTGGTCAAGTCAATATATCTCTTTTGACTTTTTTTTGTGGTCCTTTGAAAAACATTTGCTTAATTTATCTGGGTAGGAAAAGAACAAAAATCCTGTTGTGGAATGGTATGACTGATTCTATTGCTACATTGCCTTCTTTCTGTTTTGTTGAATTATCCATTTTAAAGTAAGATTTTATTTTATTGGCTTTAGCCCTGATTCATGCTCTCCATGTCCAACCAAGTGAGAAAATAATCCTCTCTATATCCAATCTAATAAGGCAAACACTGTTTCTATGTCCAAACTCAAGAAAAGAGCATTCTCTCTCTACATCATAAATGATTTTCATTAAGTGGAGCATTCAGCTAAATCCTTATTTCCAAAGGATTGGAAATTCTACATTAGTACATTTCCAAAACTTTTCACAATTATTTTTCACAATCAAAGTAAGTTTCGGTATGAAACTAATATACAACTTAAAAAAAAAAATAGTTTACCACACTTATGACATATTGCAACTTTGACTTCCTAAGCATGAAAAAATTAATCTCTAAAAATGAAAGAATCATGTTATTTATATTTGCAAAACAGTATGATAAATATGTGTTGGGAGTACATTTTAAAATATTATTTACATTAACTGGTGAAATAAGAAAATATTTACTAAAAAAATAAATCAATTTAAGAAAATTCACACCTGAGCTGCCTAAAGTTGCCTGAAGGTCTTCAATTTGATCCTTAAGCTGTTTAATTTTGCGCAAGTTATTATCTATCATAATTATATCTGGCTGCATCTGTGTAGCTGTCTCCTCATCGCTTTGGTTAATTTCCAAAATTTCTGTCTTTGACTCTAATTCTAAACAAACTGCTTCCAGTTCAGACGTTTCAGCATTCATCTGAGCTCTGTGAATATATTATAATTGATAATTAGCATCATTACATTATATACTGTACTAGGAAAAGTACACTATCACAATAATATCCCTATCAATGGCCTACTTTTACTGGAAATTGTCCCATTCCCTCCTCCACCCCCTACCCTGAGCCTCATTCTCCATAAAAACACTTTACTGCTTTTAGCAACCTACTACCTTTTCTATACATTTGCATCATCTGCCACACTGCTTGCCTATATAACCTATCATATGCCTTTTCTAAATGTATAACTGCAACTAGCAGTTCCTTGCCTTTATCTAATTATTCACTTACATGCTTCAATGTGAACACATTTTCTAAACATCCCATACTTTCCTAAATCCTTCTTCCACTGCAGTCCTATTTTGTCTTACCCTTGACTTTTTTAATAATTTAACCATACACTTTGCCTAGTATATTCAAAAGGCTTATTACCCTATAATTCTTACACACTTTTTTTCCCTTTTTCCCCTTATACAAATAAACTATGCATGTATTCTGCTGCCAATCCTTAAGTACCCTCAATTCTTTCAAGCATATATGGAACAAATACACCAGCCACTCCAAAATTATAACCTCACAAGCTTTCACTGTCCAGATTCCAAAAATTGATATGCTCCCAGTGACACTTTAAAAAATAATCTTCTGAAATGATACAGAATATTTTTCTGAAAGTAATGACTCCAAAAGTATGAAATTTGATGGAAAACTTACAGAATTAAACAGGTGCAAAGATAGTGGACTGGGTGCAATTTACACACTGGCAAATTTGCCAACTTTCAATCCTATTTTAAGTCAATCTCACTGCTCCATTTGACCAAATTTATAGCTAATTCGCTAATATGCCCTCCTTTCTATAACTCCACAAGTCGGTAATTTGAACAATTTTACACAAAATTAAAAATACCATTTTAGAAAAAAGTGGAAAATAAACAATGTAGACATTTCCTTTGTTCATCAATCATTCCCCAGGCTTCTCCTGTATTACACTTGTCTTCCATTTTGAATTCATAATCACATAAAATATAAGATTTACTCTATTTCCCGGATAATAAAATACAACTAGGAATGATTGGTCATGATTTATGGCATCCCAGTAATTGAACCAAGACATTTTTAAAAACTCTTAAAACAGATTAAAGGTGTAGGAAGCCTTACCCATCCTCAGGAAAATAAGCAAAAATTGAATATTTCAGCTAATTTGAGCCAATTTCAAGTTACTTCTAGTCCTCAAACCAACCAAATTCATCTCTTTTTTTCAGTAATATATCTTCTATTCTATCAAATATCAAGAAATAGCTAACAAAATCATAAAAACCATCCCAGAAAACAACTCAATGTCACCATTCTAAACCAAACACAAACGAAATTTTGCTTTTCCTATCATGAACAGCATGGAGGCAAGATTTTTTTTATACTGTGTTAAATCACACAGACCCATTCTCTCGTTTCTATGCCAAAATTTACCAATCACAGCTTATCTCAGTGATCTGAGCTCATGATGTAGAACTACACGAGAGACCCCTGGCTTCAATGACAATTCAATGTGATGGTCACTGAAAGGGTTAATATCTCAATCTTAATACCATCTGTCCCAGCTGCTTTACTGCCTTTCACTCTACCCACTGCTGCTTTCACTTTTTTCCACATACAGTGGACCCTCGCCTAACGAACGCATCGCATAACGTTAAATCCGCCTAACAAAGAGTTTGAGAGTAAAAATTTTGCCCCGCCTAACGATAAAAAACTCGCCCAACATGATTCATCTGGGACCTGTCCACGCGTGGCCTCAGCTGCCCCTTGGGTGCCAGTGTTTACAAGCCAGCCAGTGTGGTTGCACCTACACATACATTTGATACATTTCACATTATCCCAGTGTTTTTAGTGCTTGTAACTGCAAAATAAGTCACCTTGGGCCCCAAAAAAGCTTTTAGTGCCAACCCTGTGGTAAAAAGGGTGAGAATTAGTATGGAAATGAAGAAAGATAACTGCAAAGTGCGAAAGTGGAGTGCATGTCTCGGAGATGGCCAGGTTGTATACCAAACCCCAATCAACCATCACTACTATCTTGGTCAGCAAAACGGCAATCAAGGAAGCTGTTCTTGCAAAAGGTGCCACAACTGAGGAAATTGCTTCAGAGGAGGGGAGAGAGAAATTGAGGAAGTTGCCCTCTTCAATGATTAAGGAAATGTGTACAATGTGGTCAAATGTGCAAACCTTTATGGAGGAAAATCACCCTGACACAGCTATTGCAAGTCGTGCTCGTGACTTTTACAATGACAATGTTGTGAACCACTTCAGGAAAATCTTGAAGGAATGTGAGGCACAGAGCTCTATGGACAGATTTTTGGTGACTCTCAAGTTGTTCCCAGTGGCATTAAAAGAAGAAGGAAAGTAACCCCAGAAAAGGACGTGTTACCTCAAGTCCTCATGGAAGGGGATTCCCCTTCCAAACAATAACAACTTCAATCAACTCCCCTCCTTCCATTCCATCAATCATCATCAAATCTTCAATAAAGGTAAGTGTCATGTATTCTTTATTTAGTACAGTAGTAACTGTGCATGTCTTTCTTCTTTTTGGGTGTATAAAAATGTATATTTCATTTGGTAAAATTTTTTTTTTCATACTTTGGGGTGTCAGGAACGGATTAATTTGATTTCCATTATTTATAGGGAAAATTTATTCAGCTAACGATAATTTCAGCTAACGATGAGCTCTCAGGAACGGACTAATATTGTTAGGCGAGGGTCCACTGTATACATCTGGCTCATCCTTACTCCTACAAGACGTTATTCCTCCCTGCCCACTGCATGAAATCACCGCTTCGCTTTTATTAATATTTAACAGCTCCTCAAAATGCTCTCTCCTTACCAGCACTTCCGCTTTCCACACCTAGTATCTTCCCTCTTTCATTTTCAACTGTTAAGCCCATTGGATTCCCCAGTTTTTTTTTTTTTCAATTTATTAATCTCTCTTCAAAACTGTTTCTTATTCACATCAAAATCTGCTGATATGCATTCTCTAATTGGCTCTCCTTTTGTACTACTTCACCACTCATTTAACCTCTTTTTCTCTCTCCACACTGCCATCTGTATATATGAAAAAAAAACATCATGTGCTAACTTGTTGCATATTCCCTTCCTTTTCTAAGAAATAACTTCCCAAATTTTCATGTTATACATACCGAATTTTCTCCAGTTCAGCAGCTGCACGATTGGCTTGATCTCGCTGGGGCTTAAGTTGTATCATTTGCTCATGTAGTTTCTCTTCCTTTGCAAGTTTCTCCTTTACAGATTCTAGCTTTCCTGGGACACTACTTACCTTCCTTTCCAACTAACATAGAAAAAAAATCAGTACTTTACTTACACTGCAACAATAATTGATTAACATTTAAGACCCTGAAAATTGGTAAAAAACTATTTAAATGTAAACAAAAAGGTTAAAAATATAAAACATATATTGTACTGTTATGGTAAAAGAGATAGGGAAAGTACAATTAAGTTTCAGACTTGTCATACATATCTACAGAAACAGAGCTAAGCTCATGGTGTCCTATCATCACATAATTTTTTAAAAAATTTCCATGAATGAAACTAAAAATTCTAGGTAGTAAGTTGGTAGACAGCAACTGCCCAGGGAGGTACTACCGTCCTGCCAAGTGAGTGCAAAACGAAAGCCTGTAATTGTTTTACATGATAGTAGGATTGCCGGTGTCCTTTTTTGTCTCTTAAACATGCAAGATTTCAGGTACGTCTTGCTACTTCTGCTTACACTTAGGTCACACTACACATACAGTGGATCCCCGCCTTTCAGCGGCCGTGACTTTCGTGAAATCCAACTTTCAGCAACTTTTTTCAGCAAAATATAGCCTCACGGTTCATAATTGGCCTCGTGATTCGGCGACCATCTGGTATGCGTCCGAGCGGCATCCCAGCATCAACGTGCACACAAAGCCAGTCTCCCGCACCATTCACACTTAGTGTGCCATTGTTTATCAGCGAGTGACTATGCATGGGTTCATACGATACATTTCATAATAATCCATTGCTTTTTGTGCTTGCAACTGCTAAATAAGTCATCATGGGCCCAAAGAAAGCTAGTGCCAGCCCTTTGGTAAAGAAAATGAGAAACACGATCAAATTAAAGAAAGAAATCATTGAAAAAAACGAAAGCGGAGATGTGTGTTTCAGAGCTTGCTAGGATGTATGGTAAACCCCATTCAACCATCACTTCGATTGTGGTGAAGGGAAAGGAAATCAAGGAAGCTGTTGTTGCAAAACAGGTAGATATGCTGACAAAAAAAAGAGATCGCAAAATCCTCGAAGAAGTGGAGAGATTGTCATTTGTGTGGAGTACCCAAAAACAGTTAGCAGCAGATAGTGTTATGCAGTCGATAATTTGTGAAAAGGCAAGGCAGTTGCATGACAATCTCGTAAAGAAAATGCCTGCAGAGTGGGCTGATGTTTGTGATTTTAAGGCCAACAAAGGCTGGTTTGAGAGATTTAAGAAGCGTAGTGACATACACAGTGTGGTAAGGCATGGTGAGGCTGCCAGTTCTGCCAAAAAAGGCAGCAGAAAAATATGTTCAGGAATTCAAAGGGTACACTGAGACTGAACAATTCAAACCCCAACAAGAGTTCAATTGTGACAAAACAGGCCTGTTTTGGAAGAAAATGCCAATGAGGACCTACATCATGCAGGAGGAAAAGGCACTGCCAAGACACAAGCCTATGAAAGACAGGCTAACTCTCATGTTTTGTAGTAATGCTAGTGGGAATTGCAAAGTAAAGCCTTTACTGGTGTATCGCTCTGAAAATCCCAGAGTGTTCAAGGAAAACAGTGTCGCCAAGTCTAATTTGTGTATGATGTGGAAGGCTAACAGTAAGGCATGGGTCACGAGGGACATTTTCCTTGATTGGTTCAATTAAGTGTTTGGCCCCAGTGTGAAGAAATACCTCCTCAAAAATAAATTGGAACTCACGTGCCTCCTGGTAATGGACAATGCTACTGCTCATCCTCCAGACTTGGAAGAGCAAATGGTGCAGGAATTTCATTTCATCACAGTGAAGTTCTTGCCCCCTAATACCAGTCCTCTCCTCCAGCCCATGGACCAGCAGGTCATTTCAAACTTCAAAAAACTGTACACCAAAGCATTCTTTCAAAAGTAGAGGAAGGTGCCTTCTTCAAAGATTAAAGACATTTATGCAATGTGGACAAAGGTGCAAACATTTATAAATGTACAATGTACATGTACAATGACAATGTTATGTCCCATTTTAGGGATGTTTTAAAGAAATGCCAGAAACAGATATTTTGTGAGACAGGGGTCCAGTGACTCTCGAGCTGGTCCCAGTGCCATTAAAAAAAGGACTTGGTACCTGAAGTCTTTATGGAAGGGGATTCCCCCTTCCAAACAATATTGTACCATCTTCCTCTCCCCTCCTCCTGTCTTCCATCCACCCAGAAGTCTTCAATAAAGGTAAGAGTAATGTTATTATTATTTAATATATATATGTACTTGATTTCCATTATTAATATATGCATGTACTTGGATTTCCATTATTTCTTACGGGGAAAATGGTTTCGCCATTCAAGAATTTCGACTTTCAGCAGACTCTCTGAAACGGATTAATCATGAAATTCGAGGGTACACTGTACATGCACAAGCATATATATATAAACACACACCTCAGGGTGTTCTTCTATTTTCTTTCTAGTTCTTATTCTTGTTTATTTCCTCTTATCTCCATGGGGAAGTGGAACAGAATTCTTCCTCCGTAAGCCATGCGTGTTGTAAGAGGCGACTAAAATGAAACTTTTTTTTTTTTTGGGGGGGGGGGCCACCCTGCCTCAGTGGGATATGGCCAGTTTGTTGAAAGAATAAAGAAACTAAATATAGGAGTAAAGTTGTAAAAATAAAAAGCACAATTTACACCGGATGGAGAAACAGGATAGCCCAAAAAACACCAAGAGAAAAAAAAAATTGAATTAGATATAGTACCTACAGCAAAAAATGGAGCCAAAACTGTTCAAACCACCACAGAGAGGAAAGATTCTTATACCACTTACTCAGATGAGTGTGTACACATACGTGTACAGTGGACCCCCGGTTTACGATGGCCTCAACCTACGATAAAACTGACTTACGATGCTTGTCAGCGTAAAAATTTGACCCCGACCTACATTGAAAAACTCGACTTACATCATTCATCCTGAACGCGGCCGTCTGGTCCATCTGGCCTGAGCTAGTGTGACATTGTTTACAAACCAGAGTGGATGGTTGCACGCATACATTCGATAAATTTTGTATTATTCCAGTGTTGTTAGTGCTTGTAACTGTTAAGTAAGCCACCAAGAGCTTATTGAGAATACCGAAAAACAATTAACCCCAGAGGGTTAGCCGCCCAGGATAACCCAAGAAAGTCAGTGTGTCATCGAGGACTGTAACTTATTTCCAGTGGGGTCCTTAATCTTGTCCCCCAGGATGCAACCCAACACCCAGGTGAACAGGCAAAAATGCCTGGAACTAGTGCTCATATTGGTGAATTTAACGCCAGCAAAGGTTGGTTTGAGAGATTTAAGAATCGTATGACATACACAGTGTGATAAGGCCTGTTCTGGAAGAAAATGCGAAACAGGACCTACATCACTCAGGAGAAAAAGACACTCCCAGTACACAGTGTCTCATCACTCCTCACCACATCTTCAATAAAGGTAAGTGTCATTTATTCTTCATTTAGTACACTAGTACATGCACAATATATATTGTGCATGTATCCTTTTTTTTGTGTGTAGGAAAATGTATATTTCATGTGGTACAAAAATTTTTTTTCATACTTTTGGGTGTCTTGAACGGATTAATTTGATTTTCATTATTTCCTAAGGGGAAAATTCATTTTACTTATGATAATTTCGTCTTACGATGTGCTCTCTGGAATGGAATAATATCGTAAGTCAGGGGTCAACTGTACATGCATATGTAGTGTGACCTAAGTGTACGTAAAAGTAGCAAGATAGTGGATCCTCGCCTAACGAACGCATTGCATAACGTTAAATTCGCCTAACGATACATTTTAACGCTAACATTTTGCCTCGCCTAACGCTAAAAAACTCGCCTAATGATATTCGTTCTCAGGTACCAATTAATATCATTAGGCGAGGGTCCACTGTATAGTAGGGCACCGCTTTACGGCGGTCCACTAATACGGTCATTTTAAATTATGACCAAAACTCTATACGGCTCCCTCCACCTGGCTTTCTAATACGGTCACCGCGCCCCACCCAGTTTGTTTAACCCTTTCAGGGTCTGTCCTGTAGATCTACGGCTTCACGTTCAGGGTCCAAACCATAGATCTACACCAAAATTCTAGCGCCATCAAATTTAGCACGAAAACGCTCATAGGCCTACATGTGAGAGAACGGGTCTGCATGGTGGGTGTGCGCCATAAACAAAAAATCTAGGCGCCCACATGGCATTGTGGGAATGCCAGCTCAGTTACCTTTGTTCACCATGCCTCGTTGCAAGGCAGCGCTCACACCAAGGAAAACTGGGACTCTCCTCTTCCTATCTGATTGTTCTGACACTGATGGAAGTGAAATGAAGACGAATTCTTTGGCTTTGATCAGTTAGTGACTGAAAGGAATGACCAGGATATCGATAATAGTGCAGAAAACCCTGACGATCCTCAACCTTCTACCTCTGGTGTGGGCACTCTTTAGTCACGGTCAGTTGTACCTCAACGCAAGAGAAAACTATTATTTTCGCGTGGCCAGGCCTCTGACTTCAGTAATGATGATGACAGTGTCGTGGATTGTAATTTTATTGCTCTTGATGATCATTCGAGTAGTGATAGTGAGGAAACATATCACCAGTGAAGCGTCGGTATGTACGCCGCCGCATGTGCTCGGGTAGTGTACCCTATGTAGTGCCCAGGGGACGGAGTACATCCCGTAGCCCTACACCAGGTATAGACAGTGATAGTGAGGATGATGTGGCTACACTTGGCATGGATAGACCACAGGCATCAGTAGATGGTGGTAGTGGTGACGGTAGTGAAATGGCCATGCGTGATTCACCAGCCCAGGCTGGGACCCACGCTGCTGACTCCGCAGTTCAAGGACAAAGCGGAGCATCAGCCACCAGCCTACCACAACCACAACAACCTGCACAGCCAGCCTATGATGTTCAGTATCCACCAGCAAACTGTATCTGGGATTGGCAGCAAGATCCCAATTTTGTTCCCAATCCCCACCAATTTGATGACTCTCAAAGTGGGATTCTACCTACTTGTTCTCTTGGAACCACGGCCAATGAACTGGAATTTTTTGAAATA